AGGGCTGCCGAAACATTATCAACGATAGATACAAGTGATTTTATACAATCTGATGGTTCAAGTAGCATGGATAATTCACAAGATAAATTTACTCCTCAACAAAATCTTGAAATGACAAAAATAGATCAATTAGAATATGATTTATATCTTCTTGGAAAAAGTTATTTCGATGTTAAAGAATTTGATAGAGCAGCTTATTTTTTGGAAGAATGTAAATCATCAAAATGCCGATTTCTTAAAATATATTCAAAATACATGGTAGTAATATTTAATTGATTTTTTAATTTGAAAATGTGTGCGTATGTAGTGGGGAGAAGGGCAAAAATAGTGAAGAATGCTTTGCAAAATGTTTAGTTTAATACTTAATGTCAGAACTTTGGTAAATTGTTTAGGCTGGCGAAAAAAGAAAAACGGAAGAAAGTAATGACATTATGGGTTTGTATAATATGGTTATTTGGATATATTTATTTTTAATATTAACATTTAATTTTGAAAATTTTATAGGACCTTTGGATGATTCAAAAGTTATGAATAAAGAAATTTTAAAACTTTGGGAAGAAATAGAATCATGGCATGAAGAGGGAGGATTAGATGGATTTCTAACGTATCTGTGGGTTGATTTATAGATTATTTAGATTATTTATATGGAAAAAAAATAATTTGTTTGAATAATAATAATTTATTGTTGTTTAAGATTACTTTGTAAAATAATCAAATATTTTCAATTAGTTATGGATTGCTTTTAAAACAACTAAATCCACAATCAGAGAATATTATAGATATATTCATAGAATCTATTTGTAAATACCATTATAATTGGAGTGCATGGCTAGAATTGGCATCTTGTATATCAAATCAAGACATGGTATTTATTTAAAAATAATTAATATATATTTCTTTTTCAAAAAAATGATATTAATGAAAATAATTTATTATTACATTATTTAGCTTAATAATATTCTATCTAAATTACCCAACACTTTTATGACTCGATTTTTTAGAGTTCATATGTGTGTAGACTTATTATAGAAACCACAATCACTAAATGATCTAATATCAGAATTTCCAAAACCTTTTGCAAATAATAATTATTTACAAACAGAAAAAGCAGTTTTGTTATATAATGCTGGAGGTAATTAAAATTAAAATCAATAACACACAATTAAAATAATAAAATAATAAAATCATTATCACTACTTTAGACTATGTTGAAGCAGAGGAAATTTTTAGTAATCTTTTAACCAAAGATCCATTTAGAATTGATCAAATGGATTTATATTCAAATATATTGTATGTGATGGAAGGAAAATCTGCAAAATTAAGTTTTCTAGCACATATAACATCATCAACTGATAAATTCAGAGCTGAAACTATGTGTGTTATAGGTAAATTATTATATTAAAATTTTTATCTATTTGTAAAATTTATTTTTGTTTTAATTTATTTTTTTGTTTTAATCAATAATATACATATAAAATACATGTATGAAAAAATTTTCAGACAGGTCAAGCCACAACATAGTAATAGTGGCTGATGGGCAAGAAAGAAAGACGGATGAAGTGAAAATCATTCAACAATAGCAATAAATAAATAAACTTAAAATTAAATTTTTATTTACTAGCTTTTATACGATATCATTACCCTTCAATGAATTAATTATATGTAACAATCTCTTTGCTTCCTCTTTTGCCTATAATAATAAATAAAACAATCAAAACGATAAATAAAGCAACCAAAAAGAGGAGTGGGTAAAAATCAAACATATCATTAACAAACTTACTGTTCCGCCATATTCCAATAAGTTACGTGCATGATGTGTTGCAGCTAGTAAATTTCCTTTATCTTTTTGATAAAAAGATAAAAATGTATGTGCACATTTAATATCTTCTGTATCTATAGCCAACTAATAACATATACACACACACACATAAAACAGTATAAATAAAAATAATATAATAATAAACGCAAAACAGTACACATACACACATATGTATATTAGAATAAAAGACTTACATCAGATCTAACCAATATTGAAGTATGAAATTCAGCAGCTTTATCAGGATCAATCTTTTCATATAATTTTGCCAATCTTGTAGTGGCAGTAGTAGCAGAATTAACATCGATATCTGTGACTGAAAGTGCTCTATTAAAAGCTTTTATTGCTTCAGGATAAAGTCGCTGTTGCTCATATATTGAACCTAATCTTATCCACATTCTAGCATCATTTGGTCTATCAAAAG